TCTTAATCTACCCAAATAGACATATCAAAAATAAATAAACTCCAAAACTCAACTTCCATCCAGTAGCTTCTGACTCATGGTGACCATATAGGGCAGGGTAAACTGCCCCTGAGAGTTTCTGAGACTGCAACTCTTTACGGGAGTAGAAAGCCTCATCTTTTCCCTGCCAAAAAAAAAAAGTAATCCTACCTTAATTATTTCAGTTTCATATTAAATGATGTGAAATTAAAATTTTAAAATTCACTGGCATTCTAATACTGATCTCCATGGATTTTGCTTTTATCCTGATTAATCACCATTTATTATGATCCCAAATGGTACTTAATTTCATGCGTGGTATTATTGAATGTTTAATGTTATTTAAATGTACTAATCCTTGAGTAGAGTGCAATCTAGAAAGGAAACAAAATTAGAGTATTAATAACACGTGGCTATATGTAATATAAATGAAGTGGTGCAAAGCTTTAATTGCGTTCAATACCATGAGGACTATTGCGAGGAAAAATTACATTTTTAATGGTGATTTAAAAGGTGAGAAGAACACTTTGCAGAGAAGCGTTAAGGAAGACCTCTCTGTGGTAGCATGTACATAAAGATCTAAATGAAATAAAGGGAGTGTTTTGGTTATCTGTTGCTGGGTGACAAACCACCCCAATGCTGAGTGACATAACGTGGGGCGTGGCAGTTGTTTGCCATAAAATGCAGTGGTAAAGAGTTGAGGGACTGTGAGCAGGACAGTGTCACAGCTACTCCCCTCTGCTCTTGAAGCGTCACAGCTGCCAGAGACCATCATAAACGAGTGGGCATGACTGTTCCAGTTGAACTTTATTTACAAAAAAACCTGCGGCAGACCCTTGATTTAGAAGAATAAATTTATGTGTTCTGCTTACAAATCTAAAATTGGGTAAGTTCTGAAGGGACTGCCCTTTCTCTGCAGTTGGTGGTGACAGCAGGGGTGCTCCAAAGGTTGAGCCCTAGAACCATCAAGTTTGCTCGCTCACTGCCTGGCTCCAGGCTAGGAACATAGTGGGAGCGCCTTTTGTCTCGCTCCCATGTCTGGAGCGTGGCAGCTTCTGTTCAGCCAGGTTTCTTACATGTCAGCTAAGGGCTCCTGGGGTTTGGGGCAGAGAGAGAAGAGGGCCGTAGCTATATTGTCTTTGCCAGGACAGCCTCCGAAGTCACTCAGTGTTACAGTTCACTTCCGTTGCATTCTATTTGATTGGCCAGGGAGGAGCTGAAGAGCCCTGGTGGCATCGCGGCCACCTGTCGGGCTCTTAACCACAGAGCCATACTTGGAACTCCCCAGCCACCCCGAGGGGGACAAGATGAGCGTTCCACCCCGTACCGAGTTGCATCTTGAGACTCACAGAGGCCGTTAGGCTCGCCCTAGAGGCTCGCGATGAGCTGGACTTGACGACATGGCAGTGAGTTTGGGTTTTTTGGAGAGATCAGCCCACTTGCCACTGTTTTTTAATTGCTGGTTTTGTAACTAAAGTTTTATTGGAACACAGCCTACACCTATTTATTTTATGTGCTATCAGTGCTTACTAGAGCAACACATTTGAATAGTTGTGACAAGGACTGTTTAATCCAACCACAGATCCTAAAAGATTTACTGTTGATACTTTACAGAAAAAGTTTGCCAGCCCTTGGTGTAGCACTTAATGGCTGGCCTGGGTCAGGACTCCAGTTCTTGAAGGGGAATGCGGTGGCAAGGAACTAAAGATGTTGTTGAGGCTATTTTTGGAAAATATAATCTGCCACAAAGAGTGAGCCATATGGATACACAGAGGAAGGTGGTTTCGGGCAAGAGGGTATGGTGGGTTTTGACAGGGTCATAAACGTGCTTTCTTTGACCCCTCCAGGAAAGCCACACAGCCATTGTTGCTGCAGCCGAAGAGGTGAACTCAAGAGTAGAAGGAAGTAAAGGGCAGAGGTTGCTGGAGCCAGGCTCGCAGGCTCTAGTAAGGACGGTCGGTTTTAGTGACATGAGAGGAAAGTTGAGATTACCATGATTTAACTCCATTGTTGAAAGGATTACACTGGTTCTTGTATAGGTATAGGTTTTGAGGGACCAGGACAAAAGACTAGTTCGAGGGATAGTATAGTCATCCAGGTGAGAGTTGAAGATGACTTAGATTTGGGGGATAAGAACAAAGATGATGCTGTTGAGTTGACTGGGACTCCTATGGCCCTGCCCACTGCAGAATGAAATGCTGCCCAGTCTTGCACCATCCTCACAAGCCAAGCGTTGCAGCCGCTGTGCCGAGCCACCTCATTGGTGGGTGTCCTCTTTTTCACTGATCCTCGACAAGTGTGCTGCATCCTTTTCCAAGGACCGGTCTCTTCTCATAACATGTACAAATTCTTACCATCCTCATTTTTAAGGAACATCCTGGCTGTACTTCTTGCAGGACAAATAAATTTGTTCATTCTTCTAGTAATCCTTGTTATATTCAGTATTTGCCACTAATACTATACTCCAAAGACATCAAGTGTTTTTAATAGTTTTTGTCCAGCTTTTGCGTGCTAGTCAGATGATCAAAAATACCATGGTTTGGGTTGGGCACCCTTAGTCTTCAGAGCAACATCTTTGCATTTTCACACTTAAAAAGTTTTTTGGCAGCAGATTTGCCCAAAGCAAAAGTTGACTTTTTGACTGCTGCTTCCAAGTAAAATAAATTCCTTGGCAGTTACCATCTTTTCTCATGTCACATGATAGTCTTTTGTGGTCCCCTTGTGGAGATTTGTGTTGTCTTTATGTTGAGTTGTAACCTGTACTGAAGGTTGTAGTCTTTGATCTGCATCCATTAAGGCTGTTAAGTCCCCCTCACTTTCAACAAGGTTGTATCGTCTGCATATCACCAGTTGTTAATGAGTCTTCCTTCAATCCTGGTGCGAGTTCTTCTTCCTGTAGCCAATTTTTCAGATTATTTATGAATCATAACATACTATGGATAATGCTGTAAGAAGAGGAATTTTGTAACATTTAATTATGCTCGTATGAAACATGTACACAGACAGTTAATCAAACAGAACAAAGCGGTGTGCTTCATGGTTTAGAATCAGGAAAGGTGAGCATCAAGCGTGTATCATTTCACCATGCTTATTCAGTCTGTGTGTTGAGTCAGTCATCCATGAAACTGGACTATATACTTACATATGAAGGAGGATGACTCATCAACAGTCCGAGACGCGCATATGACACAGCCTTGAAGCACTTGGTGATGAAAATCAGAGACTGCCGCCTTCAGTAGGAATCACACCTCAGCATGAAGAAAACAAATATTCACAATTGGGCCCAATAAGCAGCATAGTGATACATGGAGAAACAATTGAAGAGTGAGGGTAGATGTCATTTGATTCTGAGTGTATTTTTAATAGTAACAAAAATATATAGGATTAAATCGTATCTTTTCATTTTTCTCACTCTGCCAAGACCCCTTCTTTCTGATCTTGGAGTCCTGTTGGGAAACCACTGCCTTCCTGCAATAAAAACAGATCTAATCCCATGCCCTTCCTGCTTGAAACCCTTCAGAGTCCTCGCTGGAATGAATCCCACCAACCCCCTCCTCCCCCTGTATTGTGCCTCGTGTACACTCTCAGACCTTTGGATTCTATCTGTATCCCTTTGTAACTGATGTACTCTTCCTGTGTTTTCGTATAGCAGCCTACATCTCCCTTGTCACTTTCCATATATTAGAGTTGATGATTTTTTCAATGGTCTCTCTTCAGTATAAGACAGGAGTTCTGAAGGGACGGACCCCATGTGTGTCTTTCTCACCCTCATGCTACTGCAGGGCCTAGCTCAGAATAACAACATGTCCAAACCTGTTCATCCCAGGCACATAATATCTGCGACAGTTTGAATGGAGGACATTTAATTTCCAAGATGAATTCTATTTTCATGGTAATGTGAGGATGTGGGAGGTTTGAGATTATTTTAAATTTTGTACCAGATTGGATATGAAATCTGGGGAAAAAATTTTTTTAAGGTAATAATGCATAGTAAAATTATTTCTATGCCAAAAGCATTTGCTATACAAAAATGGGAAGAAACATTTTTAAATGATTCTTGTTTGGATTAACTGAATTACAAACACCATTTACCATAGTATATTTTTAATTTCTTGTATATCAAGTGTTTTAAAGATTGGTTCTAATTTCCTGTGCATTCTAAGTGTCTTAGATAAAATACCTCTAGCTCCTCAGATACTTTGGTTCCCACATTTGACACAGTTCTGGATTGCTCACAAGACTGAGAGCCTAATCTTCCTGAGACTAGCCTAAAATGTCTTATTTTTATCCTGCTGCTGCAGCTGTCAGGAGGCTAAGTGCAAGGTTGGCAGTTCAAAGCTGCTTCACAACAGAAAGATGGAGACTGACTACTCCTGTAAAGATTTATAGCCCCAGAAACACTAAGTAGGATGGAATTGACTGGACAGTAGTGAGTTGGTTTCAGTCAATCAAAAGCTTAACATTTTCAAAGCCTGTTTTCTGCAGTGAAGGATTATAATGTTCAAAGTATCAAGAAAAATACCAATTTTCATTATTTCTTGTTTAACTTTTCCCCATTTATCAAAGGAGCCTTCACTTCTCTATTACTTTGCAACATTATTCCAAAATAGTTATGAAAGTATTGAACTACATGTAAATGGCCTGTGAACATTTTGCATTCAAATCACTGATGTTCAAGAAACCAAGGCCCAGAGAAAGTTCCATGACTTGCTGAAGAGGTCCCAAGCTCATTTAAGTGTATTGGGACTACATATAAGATACTCGTGTTCTTAGTAGAGCCCCTCACCAGGCAGTACAGATGTTCCCCATTGATATGTGTGTATAGTCCCTTAGTATATTACAGGTGTAAGACTACTGCTAATATTGGTACATTTGGATACATTTCCTGAGCTCTCCTTTGTCACAGCACGAGAGGAAACATTTTCTGATTTGAAGTTATTTGCCTACTGGATTCTGATGCATCTCCCCCTCTTCTCCCACAGTTGTGCATGCCTAAAGGACTGTCTTTCAGAACACAAACTGACAATAAAGATCCTCAGTTCCACTCATTCATCATCACCCGGGAAGATGGTTCTCGTACCTATGGCTTTGTTCTCACCTTTTACGAAGAGGTTACAAGCAAGCAGATCTGCACGGCCATGCAGACACTGTACCAGATGCACAACGCCGAGCACTGCAGCAGTGTGTGTGCCTCATCCTCCTGCAGCATGGACTCGCTGGCAAGCAGCATCGACGAGGGAGATACCACGTCCCTCCTGAAACTCCAGAGATACAACTCATATGACATCAGCAGAGACACCCTGTATGTGTCCAAGAGTATATGCTTGATCACACCTCTGCCTTTCATGCAGGCCTGCAAGAAATTCCTCGCCCAGCTTCATGCAGCGGTAACCTCGCCGCAGCCCCCGCCCCTGCCGCTGGAGAGCTACATCCATAACATCCTGTATGAGGTGCCCCTTCCACCTCCAGGGAGATCACTGAAGTTTTATGGTGTTTATGAGCCTGTCATCTGCCAGAGGCCCGGGCCCAGTGAACTCCCCCTTTCCGATTACCCTCTGCGGGAGGCCCTGGAGCTGCTGGGCCTGGAGAACCTGGTGCAGGTGTTTACCTGTGTTCTTTTAGAGATGCAGATCCTGCTCTACTCACAAGGTAGGTCTCCTCAAGTGGGACCCTTTCTGAACACACGGATTTGCTCCCAACCTCCCTTTTCCTGAGCTGTGTTATTAGAACCAAATCATCGTCAAAGTTCTTTTCTGCTTGAAGTTAAAAGAGCAGGTAGGAGTGGCGATCAGGGCTGAGAGACTGCCTCTCTCAGGTGGCAGTGGTGGTAGAGAAAACAAGAAAGAATGCAAAAGCATGATTGGGGTGGTCTTTCCTTTTTTATTGGGGATGGCTCCTTCTGAGTCTGTAGTCATCATAAAGAAAACACTCTACGAGGGAATCCTGGGACTGCAGCAGTGTGTGGACTTGCCATGCGGTACAGATTCGTAAAGCTTCACGCTTCGGGAAGGGGTAAGGAGGTGGTTGGCACGGTCTCTCCCTGAGTAGTCAGCTCTGGGGCTCTGCCTGGGCCAACGGTGCGAGAGTGTGCGGGGCGTGAAGCTGGCGGGACTCACCCAGGTGTGACGCATCTACCTAGAGGTTGGTTTGTCTCCCTAGCCTTTTGTTTTCTTGTGTTCTCAAAAGAAAGTTATCTTAGTGATATTTTAAATTCATCATCTCCCAGCATATACTTTAGAAACTGACAAAATGAATTTGTGTTGTGCCAGTTCATTTGCAGTAACAAAGGTCTCAGGACTAGAGTACTAGTTCTAAACCTGAATAGGAATTCACGGAGAAGATAGAAATGCTTTGTCCTAGTGGATAGCGAAGTAAAAGGAAATGTTTAAATGCTCACGGTGCATGGATGACGGATTCTGTGACATGTGTTTTCTGAATACTTGGGCTAGCAGTTCCCCAACTTGTATGTGGGCTGACAGAGCTCTTGTGCAGTCTCCCGACTGCTGCTGTCAAGCTTATTAGACACCTCCCCTTTTTTTTTCTATTTTAAATGATAAGTCAGCCTGAGCCAAGGTAGCTATATTTGTACTTCCCCGTCTTGTGTGTATGTTGACACTATTTGTGTGTTGACAGCCCTTCAGGAGGTTGTATTTTCTTCAGTTTATCCTACATGTTTTATTTTGTTAAGAATGTGTTCCAATTTTTTTTGTCAGAAAATTAATTCCTAATGACTTCCCTAAATCCTTTCTTTTCCTCTTGCTCCTACTTTCTTAGTGTCCATCATTACCTACAGATCATCCTTTGGTATCTGAAAGATTTGACTTGAAGGGATTCTTTTTTCTATTTCTTTCTGCCTTTTCTGGAGGAGGAGAAGACAGAAGAGTTCCTAGAAGGAGCAAGAGCCTGAAGCGAAAGGCTCTCCGTGTTGTAGACACTCATCTTACGAAGGGAGGCAGATGAGGCTCTGTGCTCCCCTGACGACTACACAGGGGGAGTTCTCCCTGTCCTGATGGGGTCGCGATGAGTCACAGTTGCGTCAGTGGCGATGAGCGAGGAGGGAGTGTATCTACAAAGGATCAATGTATCACTACTTTCATTTCATTTAGTATCAGTTAGTTTCCTAATGTTCTTCTTAGAGAAACATTCGTGCTGGTTTTGAAGTCGTTACTGTCCTGCATTGAGATCTCTACCGTTACTTGCTAACAGTAAACACGGCAAACTTACATAACCTTCCAAAGCATCCATTTTCCTGTCTCTGTGAGGACATCCAGGGCTGGGTGGTATGATTTTGAAGTGCTCAGCTGCTGACCAAAAGCTTGGCTGTTCAAACCCACCCAGTAATTCCACAAAAGAAAGAGCTGGCTGTCTACATCCATGAACTGTATGTAGCCTAGACTCTGGAGTGGTTCTGCCCTGCTCCGTGGAACCACTGTGAGTCAGTAGACTAAGCAGCACCTGAAAACAACAGCATGGCTAACGTGAGCTTAATTGTGGCCCCCCGAACTATTTGTTCTAAATCCAACCTCCATTCTTGTGGTTATAATCTCATTTGGGAGTGAGTTGTCTTTGTTAGAAGACAAAATTCATCTGTAATACACCTTGAGTCAATCTCTTTTCAAATGTAAAAGAGATTAAACACAAACTAGCGAGCTGAGCCGAGAGATGAGAGGTACTAAGCCACTGGAAGACCTAATGATCACTCATATTATTATGATTGCCTCTATAGCAAATTAAACATATATTAATTTGTGAGTGCCCCACATTAATACTATGTGCCATACCTTTTTTTAAGGAAGAAAATTTCCTTTATCACACCTCCTTTTAAAAAATGACTATAGTAAAAAAGGAATGTCCTTAGGGTTCCAGTTCATGTGTACTGGTTTATTTCAAACCAAACTTGTGTAAACGTGCTTCTGCCAATCAGGTCTCTCAGTAAGACTCTTGTCTTTGTCGCTTTACTCTCCCTGCATGAGTTGCTACTGACTCATAGTGACTGGAAAGAATAGCAGAACTGCCCCTGTGGGTTTCCGACACTAACTCTTCACAGAAGTAGAAAAACCCCTTTCCTCCTGCAGTCTCATTGAGCTGTCATTAACCATTAGCAAACTGATGACTTTGAGGAGATGCGGCGGGCCGCTTAAATTTAAGGCAGGATGTCAACTCAGAAGGTAATAGCGACTACTATTTTGGGGAAATCTTAGAGCAATTTATTAAGAAGGAGTTTTAAGAAAATGAATAATTGCATTGATGAGGAAAAGGCCAGGGAAGTCAAACGAAGGAATTTTTTTTTTTCTCTCTTCATCATGACTTGCTCATTCTTCAAGGGTAGCAAAGGCTGTTCTATGAGCATTTCCTTGGAAAATTTTACCCCATCCATCATGTAACCCCAATCTTTTCCTCTTCTGATCTCTCTCTGTGCCCTAAACTCTAAGAACATTGAAAAAGAATATGATGTGACTCCTTCCAGGATGTCAAAACTGCCATTTTGACATGGTATAAATCAGAGTACAGAATTCCCTGGGGGAAAAGTTAGAGATGGAAACGCTACCTTCAGAAATACATACAACTAGATAGAGAATATGTCATGAAACAATAGCACCACTTTTTTATATTTCTGTTTACTAGAGGTTTCTTTTATTCTGTAACAATACTTTTTTTCCTTACCTTCATATGTAAGGGAGTGTGAAAAAGTTCATCAAATGCCCCTGATACCAGAAGAACTAGATGGTACCCAAGTACCACTACCACTAACTCTGAAAAGGATCACATTAAAAGATTTTGGATAGGATGGGGAGAAAATATGGAGCAAAACTCAAAATCATTTTTTAAATGACCAGGCTTACTGGTTAGACTCAGACTGGTAGAACCCTCAAGACAATGGCTCTTTTTCACTCTGCAAGTCTGGAAATGAACTCACCCCACATCTCCGTTTTCTTCCCAACAATAGATAGGTCTTTAAGGGGGTCAATACCACTGTGTAGGTTTGTCCACCTTAAAATTCAACCATTAAATTTTTTTTTCTTTTTAAATCCATCCATTTGAGATCAAAAGGCAAGCAAGGACCAAGTTCAGAAAGATGAAGAGGGAAGGAGAAATGGAAATGCAAAGCACAGGAGGAAGTGGAATAAGTGATGTTACGGTTGGGGGGTTGCCGAATGAGGTGAAACAAAATGATTTGTTGAGTGGAAAATGGATCTGCTCTATAAATCTTCACCCAATTCAGAGTAAAAAGTTAAAGAAAAAGTCTGGAAACTTTTCACTTTTAGTTCCGTTTCCCGTGAACTTTTGAAGTCCTTGAGATGTCTCGCACCCTGTATGTACAAGGCCTCGTCTTTCTGCTGTGTGATGGTCTCTCCCACCCACTTGTTTCATAGTCTGTGGATTGAAAAAATTTAGCTGATTCATATCTACCTTCTTATTCAGCTTCAAATGAGGAAGAGTCCTTATTATGGACATGTTTTTATACTGAGATGAATATTTTTTTAGACTTCTGCTAAGAACAAAAGTGAATGCTGAGGTTATAAAGCTAGATTTTTAAAATTATTATTACAGATAGTAAGTATGTAAGTGTCATGCACTGAATCACTCAGAAATTTTACAGGAATCCTCAACAGTGAGTTAGTACTATTCTCGATGTTTTATCAAGAGAGAAATTAAGGCTCAAGGAGCCTAAGATATCTGCCTAGGCCCACCCTGTTATTAAATAATATCTCTCAGGAGCACTCCACTGCTTATTTACTGTATTTGACACTACACTTAATTTTTCTTTAATGTCTCAAGTATTCTAAAGCTTTTAGCTCACCCTGCAGATCCATAAGAAGGTATCATGCTAAATATGTGAAAGCACATTTTGGCATTGACACTGTATCTTCCCCTAGATAAAGACATTTCATTTCACTGAATGAGGTAAATGACTCACCGTGTTGATTCACACTCTGGTGGCTTCCTTAGTTCTGACTGTGTTAAGGGGGTTTCATTAGTATCGGATACTTCATTTCTTAGTCACTGACAAAGCTGTGCCATAACATTTGAAAACATTTCAAAGTGCCGAACAGTTATCATGGAAACTTTAATTGAATCACAGTCGATGAGTTTCATTGTTGAAGATGCCCTTCTAGAATGATTTGAAGTTAAGTGGATTCATTCTGCTGTACCGAGCCCGTGTTCATCACATTCATTTTGCGGTGGTAGTCAGAAAACTTAGGTGGAGAACGCACCCAGGCAGTGAAGGCCCTTTTGTAGGACTCCAAACATAAAGGAGCCTTGGTAGCATAGTGGTTATGAGTTGAGCTGCTTCAGCACAAGGTTAGCCGTTCAAAAACACCAGTCTGACCTAGGGAGATTGGGGGTTTTCTACTCTCACAAAGAGTTACAGACCTGGAATTTGAGAAGGGCAGTTCTACCCTGTCCTTAGGATCGCTATGAGTCAGCATCAGCTCGATGGCAGTGAGTTTGATTTGGGGAATTTATTTTAATCAGAAAGAGGAAATTTCCTCTGAGGCCTAACAACAGGATTAAGAAGATTAAAATATCGTAATTTTAATGGGATGCTTTCGTTGGTATGTGCTGTTCTGACGCATAGCAACCCTGTATGCAACAGAACAAAACATTGCCTGG